ACTGGTTAAAATACAGTGGTACAGTGGTACCTCGGGTTACAGATGCTTCAGGTTACAGACGCTTCACGTTACAGACTCCACTAACCCAGAAATATTACCTCGGGTTAAGAACTTTGCTTCAGGATGAGAACAAAAATCGTGCAGCAGCGGCGCAGCAGCAGCAGGTGGCCCATTAGCTAAAGTGGTGCTTCAGGTTAAGAACAGTTTCAGGTTAAGAACAGACCTCCAGAACGAATTAAGTTCTTAACCTGAGGTACCACTGTATGGTTTAAGAACAGCTTAGTTTATGAACAACTTAGATTAAGAACGCTGCAAACCCGGAAGTAGGTGTTTTGGTTTGTGAACTTTGCCTTGGAATAAGAACATGTTTTGCTTCTTGTTTAGTGTGTTCCATTTGTAAATTGAGACCACTGCTGCTATGGGAAAGCACGCCTTGGTTTAAGAACGCTTTGGTTTAAGAACGGACTTCCGGAACGGATTAAGTTCGTAAACCAAAGTACCACTGTACACAGTGCACATGGCGCCTCAAACATGCAGGTAGTGCCATGTGGAGTTCGGTCCTGAGAAACCTAAGGCGCCACAACGCATGAGATACTTCACAGGAAGAGATTTCAAAATGAAAATAATGAATGAATTAATAATATTAGAAACTATTCAGTCAGGGTAAGTCACTTAAAAAAAAAAAAAAAGTTTACACAGCTTTATTCATCCGGGGTGGGGGTGTCACTTCTCTGAATCCAGTGGGTTTGCGCAGCCAGGCTTTCGGAGGGGATCTATCGGGTGCTCTGTCTGGGGGGATGGCAAAGTACAGCATCAGAGGGACCGGGGTGGGAGCAGGCAGGGGACCGAGGCTGATGCTAGAAGACCTTTGTTCCCCGGCCTCGGCTTGCAGCCTCAGTGGGAAGACGGCCTGACAAAAGAGCCCCTTTCCAATAGACTCCCCCGCCCCCGCTCTCCTCCCGCTTCCCTATTCATCCTTCAGCCTGAATTAGAGCGAGCCCTCCGCTCCCTTCTCGCCCTCTCCATTCAAAAGGCAGCCCAGGCGAGGGGGCGGAGCCAGCCTTTCCAAACGAGCCAATCCAGCTGCTCCGCAGGCTCCATTGATGGCGTTTCCCAAAGCGAGTCTCTTCTTCTTTTCTTATAGGGGAGGAGGCGTCGGAGAGGGTGGATAGAGCCAATGAGCGACGCAAAGGGCTGTCAGCTTCAAGGAAGGGAATGCCAGCCTCCTCCTGATTGTTGGGGTTCCTCCTCCGCCGCCGCCTCCAAGCTTAACGTTCGTTCCGACTTGAGCAGGTCAATTCACAATGTTGCATCTCCAGGCGGTTCTTGCCTGTGGCATCATCAGGCTTCTTCTGCCGGTTTCTGAGAGGCGCAGTCCCGCCAGTCACGCACATTTGGGGAACTGGGGAGGTGCGGGGATAAGTTACTGCTTCCCTTCTTTTCCCGCTGCCAGCGCCGGCTCGCAAGCCTAAGAGACCCTAAGGCAGGCATAGGCAAACTCGGCGCTCCAGATGTTTTGGGACTACAACTCCCACGATCCCTAGCAACAGGACCAGTGGTCAGGGATGATAGGAATTGTAGTCCCAAAACATCTGGAGGGCCGAGATTGCCCATGCCTGCCCTAAGGCGGCTTTCCCCGCCCCCAAACCCAGATGTTTTGGACTACAACTCCCATCAGCCACTGCCAGCCCAGCATTATGGTGCTGGCATAGTCCAAAATTTCTGCAGGGTCCTATGTTTGGGGAAAGATACTTTAAGGTGAATCCGGTGCTTTTAAGGAGGCAGGATTTACCCAAGTGCTCCCTCTGTTTTAGCTTTTTTAAAAATGAAACTCATTTATTGAGTTTGCAAGTTACAGGGAAGCAGGCAGAGGGCCTTTTCTACAGTGGCACCTGCCCTGTGGAACGCCCTCCCATCAGATATCAAGGAGATAAAGAACTACTGTATACAGCTTTTTAGAAGACATCTGAAGGCAGCCCTGTATCGGGAAGTTTTTAATGTTTGACATTTTATTATGTTTTATATGTGCTGGAAGCTGCCCAGAGTGGCTGGGGAAACCCAGCCAGAAGGGCGTGGTATAATTATTATTATTATTACAGTGGTACCTCGGGTTACATACGCTTCAGGTTACATATGCTTCAGGTTACAGACTCTGCTAACCCAGAAATAGTACCTCGGGTTAAGAACTTTGCTTCAGGATGAGAACAGAAATCGTGCTCTGGCCGCGCAGCGGCAGCAGGAAGCCCCATTAGCTAAAGTGGTGCTTTAGGTTTCAGTTTCAGGTTAAGAATGGACCTCTGGAACGAATTAAGTACTTAACCCGAGGTACCACTGAATTATTATTATTATTATTACTATTACTATTACTATCATTATTATTATTACCCTCCTGCCTTTTTCTCCAAGGAGCTTAAGGTGGTGCACATGGTTCCCCACCTCCTCATTTAATCCCCACAACAACTCTGTGGGGCAGAGTGGGCTGAGGCAGTGACTGGCCCCACGTCACCCAGTGAGATTCATAGCCAAATGGTGATTTGAACCCTAGTCTCCCAGCTCCGACACTAACCACTATGCAACACTCCTTCTAGTTCTTTAATCATTTGTTTCCTTTTTCAGGGTGTTAGAGGCCATTTGGAAGAGGGGTCCCTCCTTACGGTGTTCTCACCTGTCTCTTGCAGAGTTCATACCTGCCTAAGAACCTGGCTGGAGCAGACTGAGCTAGGCACACTTAGCAGAATGGCTATATGTCCTAGTTTACAGAGGACAGTCCATTATGTGAACAGTGCCCCACCACTTAAAACAGCTTCCCAACAACCAGCCACATAATTTATGGACCTAATAGGTATCTAAAGGCATTTGCACATAACAAATAGGAGCCTACACAACACAAAACACTGCTTCTGTATGTAGGTTTTATTTTATTTGTTTTTTTATCTTATATTTTGGAAATGTACATCCAGTTTTGTTTTTCCTTTAAATTTTTTTGGAGCCCCCAAGGGAGTGGGGCCCTAAGCTATATAGCTTGTTTAGCTTATACGTAAATCCGGCACTGCTTATACTGCTTTCAGCACTTTCAACATTCTGGCTACAGCCATCAAGGGGATGGGGCGGCTCCTCTATGATATATTTTTGCTAAAGATTTTACAAATACGTCCATTGTCTCTTTTTTCAAGTTGCGTTTTCTACAGATCAGTTTCATTTGTTGTGAGACATTAGGGTTGCATACAGTGTTAGGTTAGGAAGAAAAGAGGGGGAAAGAGGAGGAGGGGGCATGGTGAGTGGGGTGGGGTCGGGTGGCAGTGCTTCTGTTCTTCTACTTAGTGTATGTGTGGGGTTTTGTGTTAGTGTCATTTGTGTGGGTTCTATTACTATTTGCTTGTATTTCCTTGGTGGTGAGAGAGGTTGGGGGCAGCCTAGGGTGTGGTTGGTTGTCTTTGGTTGGCTGTACAGTGGTACCTCGGGTTAAGAACTTAATTCGTTCTGGAGGTCCGTTCTTAACCTGAAACTGTTCTTAACCTGAGGTACCACTTTAGCTAATGGGGCCTCCCGCTGCCACCGCACCACTGTCGTGCAATTTCTGTTCTCATCCTGAAGCAAAGTTCTTAACCTGAGGTACTATTTCTGGGTTAGCAGAGTCTGTAAACTGAAGCGTCTGTAACTGTAACCTGAAGCGTCTGTAACCCGAGGTACCACTGTAATGAGATTTGTTTTTGTGTGAGTCGGGTGTGTGTGGATCAGGTTAGCCAGATTGATTCATATACTGTCGGTGGATTATTGTTGCTGTCTTGTTGGGCTGGGGGAACCATACCGGGGTGAAGGCGTCTTCTTCTATTTGTCCCCGTGTCGGTTTCAGTTTGTGGCTCCTCTGTGATGAAAGGCTGCAATAAGCCAAGTAAGAGGTGACATGATAGAAGTTTATCAAATTATGTGCAGCCTGGATAAAGTGAATAGAGATGTTGTTGTTGTTGTTGTTGTTGTTGTTCTTCCCTCTCTCGTAACACCAGAACTTGTGGACGTCCAATGAAGCTGAACGCTGGAAGATTCAGGGCAGATAAAGGAAAGGACTTCTTCACACAGTGCATAGTTCAGCTATGGAACTCACTGCCACAGGAGGCAGTGATTGGCACCAATTTAGTTGGCTTTTTAAAAAGATTAGATGAATTCATGAAGGATAAGGCTGTCCATGGCTATTAACTACAGTGGCCATGCTCTGCCTCCCTGGTTGGAAGCAGTAATGCTTCTGACTATTGTACCAGGAAGGAAGACGGCTCTTCTGCTTGGGTTCTGCTTGCTGGTTTCCCAGTTGGACTAGATGGGCCATTGGCCTGATCCAACAGGCACTTAGAATCACAGAACTGTATAGTTGGAAGGGGCCCTAAGGATCATCTAGTCCAACCCCTTGCAGTCAAGGTTACCAGATGTCCCCGTTTCCCGGGGACAGTCCCCAGATTTACAAATCTGTCCCCCTACAAAATCCACTGAAGTTGAAAAGTGTCCCTGGATTCATTGAAAAAAATCTGGTAACCTTACTTGCAGTGCCAGAATATGCAGCTGTCCCATAAGGGGATCGAACCTGCAACCTTGGCATTATCAGCACCGTGTTCTAATCAACGGAGCTATTCAGGTGTTCCGTTCTTATTTATTTTTTAAACATTTTAATTCTGCAGTATCAGTTAGGCATGAAATTAAATGCCCATGGTTGCTAAAAGCCCACTTGATATGACAGTCTATTAACAAGGATAAACAATAGTGTGGGAGAAGACATTAGCGTTTGGTCAAAAGTTTGCACTTCAGAAAAGTGTGTTTTTGTTTCTTCCACTAGATGGAGTCATTGTGCCTTTATAACCGCCGTTCGGCAACCTCTGTCTCTGTTGCATTTCTGCTGTCCACATTGTGGCTGTTGCATCCACAAGAACCCTCTCCTGAAACACAAAAAGGTGGCAGTCCCAGGGACCAACCTGCCTTGGCTCAAGAATTCTGCAGGCAGATCCATGGCAATGGAGTGAGAGGTCATAGAGGGAAGGATGACATCACAAGATTGCTCCCGCAGAGAGCGACATCCAAGGGGCCTGGGAAAAACAGGGACTGAGCAGGGCTGGCAGGAGGGGCCGGAAAAAGACCACAGGTCAGTTGCTGACACCCTTTAAACAAGCCGTGGTAGAAGCAAGCGATGAGAACAGGCACCGGAGCATGTCCTTAGCCCCATTGCCCCATGAGTTGGGTTGTCAACTGATGAGGGGAGAGCTTGATCTGCTTTTGCAGAAGCCATACCTACAAGGTCAAGATCTACAGCAGGCATAGGCAAACTCAGCCCTCCAGATGTTTTGGGACTACAACTCCCATCATCCCTAGCTAACAGGACCAGTGGTCAGGGATGATGGGAGTTGTAGTCCCAAAACATCTGGAGGGCCGAGTTTGCCTATGCCTGACCTACAGCTACCTACAGCTTTCTAACCTGAGAAGGTCTGCAAATCAAGAGGCCGTTAAAGGCGCAGGAGCAGCAGTCAGTGGGAAACCTGGCAATCCTGCAAAAACAACTCACAAACCAAGGCACTCAGGGAAGGTTGCCACCTTTTCCTCTCAGCTTTGCTCCTGTGCCTTTATAACAGTAGCCTGACACATGCACACATATACTTATCTGCTGCAGCCCTTAATTCTTGCCTGCCTCTCGCCCCTCCCTGCTCTTGTTCTAACCACTAGTCTCTCACACCCCATGTAGGCCATGGAGCAAGGGAAGACGATGGAGGCGCCCAAACCACCCAGTCACATCGCCACCAAAGGCCTCTTCAATACAGCTATGGGGCCCCTCCAGCGCCAACTACGCTCCGGGGAGTACAACCTGTTCAAGTGTGCCACCATGTTTGAAAGCGACTTTGTCCAGGTATGGGAACCTGCTCCTCGGTTTGCTTCCTGGGACTCTGGAAATGCCGGGCGTTGAACTCAACACCCTTTTGCATGCAAGGCGCGGGGCGGGGGGAGCACTGAGTCAAGATCCTTCCCCAACTCACATCCAGTTTCTCAAGAACTGGGCAAAACTCAGCCAAAGAGAGTTCCCCTTTCTCCGTCACTGCAGAAACATGTTTGGAAAATTTGGCCCTGGCAGAATTCTCCCTGCTGTAACCACCCCTGCAAATAGTCTGGGGTGCTTATACGAGACATGCCCCCATGTCTAGGGCCTAAAGCAAACACTTTAGGCTGCTGTTTTTCTGTTCTAGTGGCAGTGAGTTTCACAGATGCAGTGAGGATGTTAGCTGGTAACCTACATCTGCAGTCTAGTAAGTTAGTTTTCTGTGGAGTTAAAAGCAGGAGTGTTTTCCTATCCCTACTGGAGCAGTATGGAATTGCAGGCTGTGCTGTCAAGTTTTGAGTACAGTTCAGCAAATAGCTGTTAAATCTCCAGGAACATAGGGAGTGATGTCTGTTGTTGGCAGAGAAGTGAGGTGATGTTTGTCAGGGGGGCTTTGCTCAGTCTGTGTCAGTGGACACAGTGGAAGCAGACCCCTTCTGGGGAGCTATCTTCTTAGGCTGGTTTGTTAGAGGCCAGAAAAGGAGTTCATCTCTATCTCCTAAAGGCAGCGTCAGGTTTTTCTCCCAAGCGTAAAGAGAGGTGAGAAGCAGGGAGAGTGAGTCTTGGACTCTTGTTGGACTCTAAGCATGCCTTGACCACAGCAGTGGTGGATGCCTGTATATATTTGCTACCAATATGCTTTTATGGCTGTCAAGTAAGCTTCTACACTTGATCGAATCTTTATGGCGCCCATGAGTGTTTATTGGCTGCTGTGTGTACCTTCAACCCTGAAGACACTTCCAAGGAAGGAGCTGCGTTGAGATGTCACTCTGCCGAGTATGGATACTGGCACACACACACACGTAGCGAAAGTGATGCTGGACCCAATCCTTCTAAGTCATCCATCAGAGGTTGATGGATTGATCCAACAGTCATCACATGGTAACTTCTCTTTGCATTGCAGGTCAGCAAGCGAGGTGGCACCCTGGACGTCCACAATCAAGTCCAGATGGTGCGGGTTGCCATTGCGGCCACCAGCCCAGGCCTTCAGGTCCCCAACGTGCTGTTGCTGGCCCGGCCAATATTCCCTTCCCGACAGCAGCCTCAAAGCCTCCAGGCCGCCCGGTTACACCGCACTTCAATGAATACGAGGTTTGAGCTGACCAGGTGAGGCCCAGCTTGCCCATTTTCACACCAAGGCAGCACCCTGCTTAAAAAGGCCATATTTGCATGATTTAGAGCACTATGGTACAACAGTCAAGACTTCCGCACAAAGAATTCTGGGAGCTGTAGTTTGTTAAGGGTGCTGAGAGTGGTTAGGAGACCCCTATTATCCCCATAGAGATACAATTTCCAGCAGGCCCAGCCCACCTATGGGTCAAAGTGAGGTGACTGCCTCAGGTGGCAGGATCCACAGGGACAGCAGATCCTAATACGGTGGTACCTCTCATTAAGAACTTAATTCGTTCTGGAGGTCTGTTCTTAACCTGAAACTGTTCTTAACCTGAAGCACCACTTTAGCTAATGGGGCCTCCTGCTGCTGCCGCTGCGCCACCACTGCGCGATTTCTGTTCTCATCCTGAAGCAAAGTTCTTAACCCGAGGTAATATTTATGGGTTAGCGGAGTCTGTAACCTGAAGCGTATGTAACTCGAGGTACCACTGTATAGGTCTTTATTCCCTTGTTCCTGATGTAGATTTTCACTCACCCCTTCTTACCTGGTGGGGAAGGGGGCACCATTTTGTGGTTTACCTCAAGTACCAAAAATGTATTGGGCCAGGATGGCTTACCAGTCAATCCCTCCTTACAGGGAACTCTGGGAACTGTAGGCACTGGCTCCAAAATGCTGGCAACCCCAATGGGAAGCCCACAAGCAGGACGTGAGTGTAGCAAACCTCACTTTGTTTCATTCTAAATTCTCTTGCTGCTTTCAGAGGTAATTTTTAAGAATGGCTGGGCTATTTCAGTGAAAGTTCCTAAATCTTGTGCATGCCATTAAAAAGTCTTAATAAATAAAGAAGGTGCAGATTGTGGTGTGACGGCAAGTCAGTTCATGGACCCCATTTTGCACTCCCCCAACAAACACACATACAGATCTTCCTCCTTTCTCTCCCCGTCTCCCTGCAGGCTCCTTCCCTTGTGCTTTGTCAAGATCTCCATCCATGACTTTGATAAGCAACAGCTCCGATTCAAAATGTCCACCGGCCGCACTTTCTACCTCCAGCTCTGCCCACTACCAGATACACAGGAAAGTGAGTTTGAGTCATGGGTCAAGGTTGTCCACCTGCTGCGACCCCCCTCGGACGTTAGCCTGAAGAAGGAGCCTGTTGAAGACCTATGGAAGCCAGGCCAGCCTGCTCTCAACGCTACAGCTGTGAGTTCCTTTGGGGTGATGGAAGTGAAGCCCCTAAAAGTAGGACACCTGGACCCTTGGGAATGCAGGGGGGATGCGGGAAGGAAGGTGAAAATATTGGCAAAACCTATTGGTGTTTCACAACTTTCTGACTAGTTGCAGGACCTTAGCCAGACCTAGCAGAGCACACGCAGAGTTCACGAAAGCAATTGGCAACTTGGCTGCAGACAGGAAGGATGAAGCAGGAAACAGTAACTTGTAGTTAGGTGTTTATTATATACAGTGCCTATTTACAGGAACAGAACAGAACACGGATCTTTAACTTGCTCTCTCATACACGACTCACAACTCCTACACTGACACTTGTACATTCCAGTTAGTAGGCCATTAATCAATATTCCTGTGAGAGAGCTTGATCAATCATGGAGCTGTCTCCATGCCTCTGTATCACCAGGCAGACTTACTCCTTCACATTGCCTTGGCTGTCTGCCAAACCTTAATTGACTCTGTGTGCATAGTTGCACGTATTCAGATTCCCAACAGAAAATAGGAACACACCTATAGTTAACACACACTCCTCTCACACCAAAGATTACTTCAGAAGACCCCAGCCCTCTCCAGTCTCACAGATGGATGATCTCTACCATTTCAGAGATGGAAGTAGGATAATCCTTGAGGACTTCCACCATCCCTACTCTTGCACCAAGGACTGCTGTTTGAGGTGCATTCTGCCATCCCTTCACAGATACCCCACTTTGCTCTTCTCCAGCACTTCTGACAGCAGTGTTGCACACATCCCAATCTCTGAACAGTGAGAGACTCCAGGCGTGCTTGCTCTTTCCCAGGGTTCAGTTTTCTTGGAATAAAGGTCAACAGAGACTGTGGTGTCTTTATGATATATGGTTTTCTTGACACATATATTCAACCTGAGCATAGGATGGAAGGGCTCACAACATTAACACCAAAACAGATATTGCCTCCCCATTAGAGTTCCAGGGAAGCCCAAAGCTTTGGAGTCCAGCACCGAGCAAAACATGCCTCTGAGTCTCCAGCTGCCAGCATTAGCAAAAATTCTCTCACAACTTTCACATACACAATCTTGGCCTATTATTCTCCATCCTAGGATGATGTGGCATATAACCAGAACAGATGGGGAAAAACTCATCCACATGTCTCTATAGGATCAGAGCTCACTCTTTTAAGATGTGAATGACAGGTATTTATTTAACTGAGCAGCTGAAGCCATTACCTTGACAAATGAACTGGCCTGATTGGTTCAGCAAGCTTCCTCCTATAGATTCTGGCCTCCCATACACAGGATCACTGGTCTAGATTATACCCACAGGTATAATCTAGACCCTTCAAATCTATAACAGTACATTGAACTGGTCTTAGCTGTTTAAAAAGCAGTATTCTTCAACCTTGGAGTCTCAGATGCTGTTGGACTATAGCTCATCCAGTATAGCAGTTAGTCTGGGATGAATGATGAATGATGGGAGTCCCAGTCTAACAGCATCTGGGGAACCCCAGCTGAAAAAGGTCTAAAGGGAATTTACTTAGCAGAGCTGGGGTGGAGTGCTGTTAGATTGGGATGCGCTTGTTAGAGCTCTGTGTGTTCTGAAGTAGATTAGTAAAGGTTTCTGAATACTAGTTCACATTGTTTCCTCTCCATTTAAATAAGGCTGCTAAAATAAAGTAAGTTTGGAGTAACCATGAGTGCGTATGTGAGAGGACTGTGAGCTCCACTCATTTCAGGTTCTGAAAACGTCTTCCTAGCCTCAGCCTGTGCTCAAAATGCGTTATTTATTTCTGGCTTTGGTTGGCTGATCTGACAGTTCTAGCAAACAACAAGCAAAGTCAGTCTGACAAGCCTCAAGTCTGTCCATCCTTACAACGTATTGCAGGTATTACTACTGCACAGCTTGAAGCAATAGGGTGGATAAAAACTGACTCCTCTTGGAATAAATATTGTCGGGACCCAAAATATGGTTCCAAAGCTTTACTAATAGAACTTTCTTCAGACAAATAATGTTACAGTCAAATAGTTGTAGAAACTTCAGTGGCACCCTGTGCAAGCCAAAAATTAGGCACCCTCCCACATCTCACCTTCTGTTCTGCTCAATTCACTATGTCATAGTTGTGACGTCTTATGGCACCCCCTAGGCTTGGCACCCAATGTGGGGAATCTGGTCGCGCTGCCCTAAATCTGCCTCTGTCCTCAGGAAAGAAAATTAGGTCCATGCCCATTGTTTCAAATACCTTGTTCCCCATCCACCCAGAATCCTGCGCCCCAGCTCCCTGCGGACAGAGAGTACACCCTTGCAGAAGTCCTAAGCACTTTGCAAGAAGAAGAGGACAAGAGGAACCCAGCTGAGCCCTTGACGAATCAGTATAGCATCCTTGAACCCAGCAGCAGCCCATCTCCAACTCCCAGCCAAGGGATACCAGCAGAATCAGAGAGCCTCCCACCTTCAGAGGGTCCAAGTTCCAAAGAGCTCCTTCAAAGGTCCTCCAAGGGCGACAAGAAGGACAGGAGGCATAAGGACCGATCGTCTGGAAGCAGGTACCAGGGAAATTTTGTGCTGGCAGCCAGAGTAGGGAGCTGGGATTTGAGGCTGACGGCGAAAGGGTTCAACCTGTTACGGTAAAATCTGGGTGCGGGGCTACTCTGCCACCCAGCTCGTCGGACTAGGTCCGCGGGTCCCTGCGGAAGAAAATGAGCTCAGCCGGAGACAGGAGCAAACTGCAGAAGATCCAAGTTTATTGCGCAACAGGTTCAAGGCGAGATTGAACAGCGAGAAAGGGGTGACATGAACTTTTGAAACTTCTCTCCATGTCCCAGAATACAGTGCAAAATACATCCTAGTTACATCATGAATACATTAAGAAGAGGTTGGGTTACACAGATTACATCATGAATACATTAAGAAGAGGTTGGGTTACACAGGATTAACATACGGAGGAGGGAGGGGGGATTATGCAGAGCTGGAGATATGTGCAGATAAGCACATCCTGAGTACCTGATGAGAAGACAATGGTCCATGTATGCATGGTCTGCCACCTGGCCTTGCCCGGAGGAAAGGCTTGGCAGAGCGATTTGACAGGATTAGGGTCTTGACACCTTGCTTGAGGGATTATGGAGGACAGGGGAGGTGTCATGGAGTCCTAGAGAAACTGAGCAAATTGGCACATTGATTTTCTATAAATTTTATAGATTTTAGTCCCTTTTGACATTGACAATTGGAAATAAATGGATATATTGTAGCGAAGAAGGAGGTGAAGAAGACATGCCCCCCCTTCCGTATCAAACCCATACCACCCCAGATAAACATACGCTGACAGAAAGCTCCAGTTGGACATTATGGCAAGCTAGGTGGTGCACACATAACCAGATGTTTTTGAACTCCAGCTCCCATTACTCCCAGGCAACATATCCAATGGTCAGGGATGATGGGAGTTGTATTCTGACAACGTTGGCTACCCATATGGTCATTTGGACAACTAGTTCCCAATATCCTATAGTATAAGAACAGCCTGGCTGCTGGATCAGACCGAAGGCCCATCTTGTGCAGAATCCTGTTCTCACAGTGGCAGGGGTGTAGCGTGGGGGGGCTGCAGGGACGATAGCCCCAGGCACATTTTTTGGGGGGGTGTTGCTCATGCCGCCCTCCCCAAGCCAGCCCTGTGCTGCTTTGCAAGGCTGGGATCTAATCAGATTCCAGCCTTGCAAAGCTGCTCAGAGAGGGCAGCGTGAGCCTTGTGTTGCTTTCATTGCAGCCTCACAAAGCAGCTTGGGGCTGATGTTGTTCAGCAGCAAGGCCTGGGCAGGCTCAGGGAGGGCAGAGTCAACAGTGCCCCCTCCCCCCAAAAATACATCCTGTATCTGGTAAACCCAAATTTTCAGGAGAAAAGCATTGAGATTGGTGCTGTTTGAGGGTAATATTATGTGGATTGTGCTAATTAAATGGGACTGCAAAAAGCGGCAAACCCACAGTAAACTCCAGTGTGGACAAGCCCTAAATGTGAGCTGGGGGGGAACCACACCCACTTTCTGATTGTCCTCATGGTGAATGGCGAATGGAGGAGGTGGGGTCTCACGTGGACATGGCAGCCATTCTCACAGGTGCTCTTCCTGTTTCAGAAAAAGCAGCAGAAGGAAAAGGTCAAGCAAGTCACGCCGAAGCCATTCATCAAAGAGAGGTAAGAGCCGCTCTGGCCAGCTTCTCAGAGCCCATCCCCAAACACACTGGAAGATCCATGCCACTGTAAGCATCTCAGGGATCAGCCGTGCTTCTGCCTGTCCCTCCGCTGAATCACAGCAAACATCAATTGGGTTTTCTGCAGATTGGCATTTGCTGCGGTTCAGCAGCAAAGGACGGGTTTGCCAAGGAAAGCAGTGGCGCAAATGGAAACTACTCAGACTGTGCCTAGAAAGCATTGGACAAGCAGAAAACCTATTGGAGCTGTGCTTTCTAGGCACGGGCAAGCAGAAGCCCTTAACCCATGAATCTCCGTCCACCCATTAATCCAGGGATGCCATATTGGATCAACATTTCCAAAATCAAATGGATTTGAGAATTGTGGCATCTGAAAATAAGGCAATGGAATAATTGAACTGTCAAATAGGAAGCCACCCTGAGGGTCATCCAGTCTAACCCTCTGCAGTGCAGGAATAAAGTTATTGCTTGCTTCGATGGTCAAAGGCTCCAGACGTTGGTTAGACTCCCAACTCTCATGATCCCCAGCCAGCATGACCAATAGTCAGGGGGATGTTGGAGCTGTAGTCCAGCAACAGCGGGGATGGGCATGTTTGTCTACCCCTGGCACAGCCAAAGATGGGCAGGGGCAGTGCTGCATGCCTGTGCTCATGGAGGGGAGGGGCAGCAGGTGAAGGTGGTGGGAGCAGCTCCGCTGACTCCTCTCGGGGTCTCTCCTCCTTTTCCTCCAGCTGCCAGCCGGAGCCCCAGCAAGATCTCCTCTATTCTCATGGGTTCCTTCTCCAGCACCAGCCACAAACACCACAAAGGAAGCAGAAAGGAGGGCAGAGAGAGGAGGCATTGAGAGTGGCCCAAGAAGCAGAAGAGGCCCCAAAGGGACAGAGATGCTTTCCCCTCTTTTCCAACCATCTCTGACTTTAATAAAAACAATGGCTAGAAAAACCACACCATTGTGAGTCTTGGGCCAAGAGGCACAGGGGAGAGGGGAGGCTGGTGGGGGCAGGAGAGGGGAGGGTTAAGAGGGGTCTGGCCAAGGGGAAGGCATGACACCCCATGAGGAAAGTTTGCAGCGTTTGGGACTTCTTAGTTTGGAGAAAAGGCAAGTAAGAGGTGACATTATCAAAGTTTATCAATGTATGTCTGGCATGGAGAGAAAAAAGCTTTTCTCACTCTTTCACAACACTAGAACTCTTTGTACTATGGAGACATTTGATTGGAGCCATAAAATGGCTTAAAGGTAAAGGTAAAGGGACCGCTGACCATTAGGTCCAGTCGTGACCGACACTGAGGTTGCGGCGCTCATCTCGCTTTATTGGCCGAGGGAGCCGGCGTACAGCTTCCAGGTCATGTGGCCAGCATGACTAAGCCGCTTCTGGCGAACCAGAGCAGCGCACAGAAACACCATTTACCTTCCCGCCAGAGCGGTACCTATTTATCTACTTGCACTTTGACGTGCTTTCAAACTGCTAGGTTGGCAGGAGCTGGGACCGAGCAACGGGAGCTCACCCCATCGCAGGGATTCAAACCGCAGACCTTCTGATAGGCAAGCCCTAGGCTCTGTGGTTTTACCCGCAGCGCCACCTGCGTCCCCCCTAAAATGGCTTAGGTCCCATTTAAAAGCAGTATATCATACCCAAGGTAAGGGTGCAGCGAGTGACTAGGACCAGTTGACAATAGGCCTTTCTGAGCTGCAGGGCTCTGAGCAGATTCTTGGCCATGCCTATCCCTAGGGCCAGGCCTGTTTACAATAACTCTGCTAAGTTTATTCATGTAAGGGAGCACTTTGTAGTATCTGCAAGGTTTCGAATGGTCTGCAGCGACTGGATTAGAAGAAACAAGCTACCAAACTAGCCAGGTTTTCTCAGCTTCTTTTCCTGGCTGGTGTCAGCCAGAACTCATCCCACAGTTTCTAAATCACTGTAGTTCCTGCTCACATTACAAGCTTATTTATTCCTGGGAAGGCTGGGTTTGGACATGCCCAGGGCAGTTCGGAGTCTGAACCCAAAGATGCTCTCTGGAGCAATGTCCAGCCTCGTTTCTCCCCAACCTGGCTTAAATGGATGTGGTGTAGCCTGCAAAGGTTGGACCCCACCAAAGACCACTTCCATCTCCCCATCAAGAGGCTGCAGTCATGTGAGCAACAGGCAGAGGGCAGTATGAATTCGGCTGGCATGGCTGTGATGAGGAGAGAGAGAAGGAGGAGCAGCTGCCCCTGGCCGCAGCTGTTAGGCAAGGACCTTGGAAAATCGCAGCAGATTCCCCCTGAGATGGAATCCATTGGGATGGTTCTAGAAAAGACTGGGAATGGAGGAGAGGATGCCATTTGACCGTGTAGCTACAGCCTGGTCTGAAAGCGCACGATGCTTTGCTTGAGAGGCTGACCCGCTTTGAAGGTACCTTTGTGTGCCTTCGTGGAAGAAAGCGGGGCTGTCAAAATGATCAACAAACCCCACAAAGGAAGAAGCAAGCTTTTAAGTTCCCCAGAACTCTTCCTCACACTGGATGTTAAGTCCATTCGGCTCCTTTCCTCCCTGGAAATCCATCCTACTGGAGTCCGGATCGTGTCCCTGCTGCCAAATTGGCCAATGGTGGCAGAAGTTAATGGGCGTTCCCCTGGGCACGGGACCAACCGACCAATAGCAGCCCTTGGCACCTGTGCCCAGGGAAAGTTTAAATGCCGGGCCGGCAGGGCCTTTTGGCTTTTCTCTTGCCTGTTCTCCTACCCTCCCCCTCTTGGATTGGTTTTGTTATGTACTGAAGTTCTCACCCTGGGCTAGCAGGGGGATACTGTAGATAGTTCAGGTCCACATATGCAAATAAGGGATCGAAAGTGACGTTCAGTGATTGGATAGTTACTGAAAGTTGTTACAGTTATGTTGTACTGGAGCTCTATATAAGCAGGCTGGCTGAACCCTTCAGTTCAGTTCAGTTCTGTTCCAGCTTACAAATAAAGAGCTGCTTTGGAAGAATCGCTGTGTTGTCAGATATGGTCACCCACAACTTAACAGTTCAGGTACTGTTTGACTTTGCTACTGGACAATGTCGGGCACCTAATTTTCAGAGGCAGGGTAGGAATTTTCCCCACTTGGCTAATTGGCACCGCCATTTGGGTTTTCGCCTACCTCGTCACAATCACAACTTTGTAAGTGGATAGGCATTGGGTAAGCCTAGTCTTCTTTGAGAGGAGATTGTAACCTCTGCCTGCCCCTCCACAGGTAAGGGTATCCTGTTAAAGCGATCCAGGAGGAGTGGCTCGTGTCCGATGGCCAGACGGGGGCTAGGTCCATACCACTCCTCCTAAGGGAACCACTTGGGGGACACCCCAATTTGACTTAGGTCATAGGGCATCACCCCCACCCCTACCCCCATCGGCTTCACCCTTGGAAACACTCCCAGTGGGAGGGAGGGAGGGACATGCACAGTTGCTTACCCCAATGCCTATGGTCAAACCTCACATCTGTAACCAATAAAGTTGTGGCCTTATTTGATCCCAAACCAATATCTTGTGTTGTGTCTAGTTATTTACTCCTTAGGGAAGGGGGGGGGACATGGGACCTCAATACACAATCAAGAAAAGGGCTGGATCGTAAAATATATATATTCCTGGGTGTGCTGAAAAGAAAGCTGACCCCCGAAAGTGGAGTGTGGGAGATGATCGTCACCTATTAGGGGAAGGGACATGGTTAAGCGCTTTGAATGCAGAGAGTCCCTACACATTCACGCCTGAAATCCTGGTGAGCTGCTACTAGTCTGTGTAGATAATACTGAGCTAGATAGACCAATTGGCAGACTGGGTATGAGTCAGCTTCCTTAGTTCCATTCTTAAGATGAAAACCAGGGCACTGGTGTCCCCCTCGCATTCCTGGCCTCACACTGAGGCTCACTGCTAAACACCAGCACCCCTTAACCACCACAGAAGGTGCTTTTCTGTTTCCTGTTTCCTGCATTCATCAGCTCCTTGACGCCTTGCCTCTGCTGGCTTCAGAAACAAGAGGGTGTTTGGAAACTGCCCATCGCCATGTCATTTAAAACCTAAGCACGGTTACGGTAATCGAACCAACGCACACAGTTTGATCAGATGCATGTTTGCTCAGGGGTAAGCGTGTACACAATTGCAGCCTTTGGTCAAAATGGGAGGTGCCATCTCTTACGCCTCCCTTTCACTCCAGAATAGTGCTACGGTGGCTGTAAACTTATGCAAGCTTACTCTGGAGTAACTCCCGTTGAAGTTGGTGGAATTGCTTATTTTAAAAATCCAAAGAGGAACAGTGCCACTAGACAGAAAGAAACAGACCAGTTGGTGCAAGAACATAGACTTTACTGGGTCACATGGTCCTGGGTGCAAGATTTTGCTACTGGCAGAAATAAATGGTGGCTTTCTTTGGAAAATACTAAGGTAAGCAGTGAAGAACATAAGAAGAACCCTGCTGGGTCAGGCCAAAGGCCCATATAGTCCAGCACACTGTGGTTAAACAGATGCCTCTGGGAAGGCCGCAAGCAGGACCTGTGTGCGACAGCAATTCTCCCCACTTGTGATTCCCGGCAAGGCAGTTGCTAGCCTTATTTTCCATGAATTTTGTCTAGTCCTCTTTTAAAGGCATGCAAGTTGGTGGCCATCACTTCATATTGACATAGCACATTCCAAATGTCATACTGTGAGGGCAGCACTATTAAGAAGGTGAGAAAATATAACCGGAACAGGGTAGTGTAGGGGGTGGGGATCCCACTAAGCCAAGTTCAGTGGGTGATATTAAGCCAGTCATTCTCTTTCTCGGGCTGCATCACAAGATAAAATGGGTGAGGGAGGGACAGGACCCTGTGTTCACTGTAGGAAGGCTGAAATAGAAATGCAATGATGGAAATGCCCCAGTTAGGGGGCTCAGTCTACCAAGAGGGGGTATAGCCAGAATATCCAATCTCCCCAAAATACTACTAAGGAAGGCTCATTTGGGGGTTCTGTTAATGCATTAAAAAAAAATCCCACATCTGCTTCCTGTAAGACAGATTCCAGTGTGCAGAGACACCTAAAGCACTGGTAGGTTAATTGTGACAGAAGCTGAAAACTGATGCTACAGCCACTTTGTTAGCCATTCCGTGTGTGCTTTGAAGAAAGTGCCTCAATCCTATGTGGCTATTGTTTCCTGTCTACATGCATGTGATGATTATTATTGCCTGTACATGTGCTCAGAACCTGCCAGGAGTCACAGTAACCTAACATGTGCATGCATGTGGGGTCCTTGCGTGCATTACGGCCTGCTTTCTAGACAGAAAACAACATGCACTTGTGTCAAAAGGATACTCCTCCTGACAGGACTCTGGTGATGAAAATAAAAAAAAAAACGTTGTGAAGAAGGCCTTGCAAGCTACGGAAGCTGACTTGGTCTGTTAAGTCTACCTGAAGCTGAACACAAAGGAGTGAGAGAGAGATTAAAGGAGGAGGAGGAGGAGGAGAAGGAAGCCCAATCTGTCAAGGGGGACCACAAGGCCGGTGCGGGTTGTTGCCTCGTGTGAGGCAACAATGGGGTCCATATGTCGTGGGATTGGCTGGCAGGCGTGTAACAATGGGCGCTGCAGACGGGCTGGAGAAAGCGACAGAATGTTCACACTTTCATAACGTGATTAATTTGTCTGGGCTCCCGTCAGGCTGCCTCGGCAACCTCCACCCCCCAAAATACACACGCAAGAGGCGGCAAGGGGAGCAGAGGAGGCCGTAGTGACAAGGCCAGCCTCATCTAGGCCTTCTGCCGAGTCTCTTGAGGCCTTCCAAAAGGGCCCTGTGACTGAACTATTTAATTATTATTAATGATGATGATCGTTGCTGTTCAAATGCAACAGCACTTGGGACATTAAGTTGTACTTGACTTTGGGGCTGCAGGCAGGCCTCCGAGCCCTGGCCGACAGTATGGGCTAATTTGGGGCATGTGTGACTGGAAATGGACTGATTCATCCCTACACCCAGCCCTGATCACAGCTCCCCTTTTTGTTGGCAGTAGACACTATTTATTTCAGTGGGCTTTTAAATAAAAGGTAATGGTGTACATCTATATGGGGCAGAAATCAAAATCTGTATGAGGGCAAGGTTTTTATTAGGTCACCCAGAATGTTTTGTGAGGACACTTCAGCTGGGCTCATAAAGATATTGCCCTAATATGGTTTTTAGGAACCTGCTTCACAAATTATCCTCTTTCTATGCTCCTCCCGATGGAAACATGCAGACGGGGACAGATATACCCCTGCTTTCAGTCGTTTACATACAGTCTTCTCTTGTACAGTTGTTCCTTGGAAGTCGAACAAAATCTGTTCCAGGAGTCCGTCCGACTTGCAAAACATTCGGAAATCAAGGTGTGGCTTCCGATTGGCTGCGGGAAGCTCCTGCAGCCAATCGGAAGCCGCGCCGGACGTTCGGGTTCCAAAGAATGTCAGCAAACCGGAACACTCATTTTTGGGTTTGCGGTGTTTGGGAGCCAAAACGTTTGACTCGCAAGACATTCGTCAACCAAGGTACGACTGTATATTATTTACTACAAAGCTCGATGACTAAGCTCTTTAGCAACGAAATGTTGGATTACCAGAACGAAGTGTGAGCACTGAACCACTGGTATATCACAAGTGGACTCTTTATTTACTGTGTTTGCTATTGTTTAAGATAAAACCTATTTGGGAAACAAACTACCTTTGCCATTTTTATGGACTTTAAGTGTTTGTTTACAGATAGTTGCTTTGGTGATAGTATCTTGTGTTGATTGACGTATGAGTCAGGCATGAGCTGCATGGCCCAAGCGAAGAAGGGGAGCCAGTGGCAGTTTAGCCTGTCCTGTTTGCCCCCCCTTCTGGAGAGCCAAACTTCTGTCCTCCTAGTGTGAGAGAGGCTTGGCCTTCGAGGATAATGTCAGGCTACATTCACACATTACATTTAAAGCACTGTGACACCCCTTTAAACAGTCAAGGCTTCCCCCAAAGAATTCTGGGAGCTGTAGTTTGTACAGGGTGCTGAGAGTTGTTAGGAGGCCCCTATTCCCCTCGGGATTAACAGTCAAACTCTCACAGGAAACTCTGGGAATTGTAGCTCTGTCAGGGGAACGAGTTTCGCCAAACAACTCTCAGCACCCTTAACAAACCACAGCTCCCATAAACCTTCGAGGGAAGCTATGACTCATTTAAAGGGGTATTATTGTGCTCTAAATATATGGTGTGAATGTGGTTTGTTTCTAATTCCCCCCCCCATCTTAAATTCATTTCTACATCTGTTTGCAATTTTTCTTGAAGTCCATACAAAAATTCACCAATATTTTAGTGTGCAGTTCTTCAAAACACACGTTTGTACAAATTTTTGCCTAAAAGAAAAATGTCGCAAACCATTTCTCCTAATATCATGCATTGACATTCATATTTTATGCTCAGTTTCCCCAGATATGTGTACTGTGGTGCATGTTATACACATTGGGGAAAATCAGATTTGTGCAGATTTGAAAGGAGAGCTGCATTTTAATCTGCATATTGTTTTTGGACGTGCAAATAAGGTAGAGTTGTGTCAAATGTGAAGCGAAGCGAATTTCTCCCTCCGTTCTGAAGTTGTCTCCCGCATTCCTAGCGCCTAGCATGTATTCCGTCTCTGAATTACGTTGACTGATTTTAACTGAACTCTGTATTCTGTCAATTTATTGTGGCTTTTCCTCCCCTTTGCATTTTTACGCAAGTGTCAACTTGTCTTGTGATCAATTAACATCAGGTGGTATGCCTACAGCTTTCCTTGTGGTACAAAAACATTTAGACTTGGCTACCACAGAAAAAAAATAACACACAAGCTACGTGTTTCCAAAGGTGCAGTCTGGTGGGACTTCATTTTGTATATTTCCAATTCAGGTGTGTGAAATTCTTTATCTGCTCTGTGCTGTAAAATTTAGTTATCTTAAAACGCTGTGATATAATCAGTCTGACACTATGAACCTGCTGTGCCCCCTTTTATCTAGTTTTTTAGGGATTTTTTTAAAAAAAGAATCATATAACATGTACATTACATATAAAAAGCGCAAAAAACACACAAACCCATATGAACACATATAATACAAAACCATTAGGAAGCAAAACTACTATAAGGGTACCAGCAACTAATGCTAATAAAAAAGGGAGGAAAAAATGGAAGGGCACCAGAAGGAGACAAAGGGCCAAAGAAAACAAGGCAATTCATCATGTGAGTGTTCATACAGGTCAAAAAAGGCTCCCATGTGGTTGTAAAATCTCCTGGTGCAGCAGAGCCCTTAGTGACTTAGAGGGCGTGATGCTCTGCTTCTTTTTGTGTTGCTTTTCTTGTATGTTTTGTTCTTTCTCAATGAACTCTAAAACTGCAAAAAAGGTGGGAAGCACCATTTTCAAATAAAAAAAAACCAAAATGAGTTGATGACACCAACTGCTCCAAAGCTTGCCCTCCTGACTCAAGAGTTGCCTGCCCACGTGTGACCCACAACCACAAGCTGTCCCCCCCCCCACACTTCCTCTTCATTAAAGCATGTCCAGGCATGTCCTCTCGAGCCTCGCTCAGTTCTCCTCTGGTCTCACTGGGGAAAAGCGCACAAATCCATAATAAACAGGGGAGCAGCTGTTTCCACGGCCGTGAATCAGAAGCCCTCACAACTCTTTAGCCGACGGAGGCAGGAGCTGGGTCAGGGCTGTTGGGGGGTGGTGGGGTGCAACAAGATGGTGCTACTGTGCGGTGGGAGGGAGAACTAGTCAGTGGTAGAACACCACTTTCAGTTGTGATGCAGGAAGAGGTGCTGGGGCTCAGATGAGTGCCCACCATCTGCCAGGAAGAGGGACCCCGGATCCTTAATTCTAAGTCTTCACAGAGTGAAGGTGCTCAGAAGCAGGGCTATAGTGATCAGTTATGAGGAGATGCAGCTCGTCATACCAGTCCTCATAGCCACATCCAAAGGGAAGTCCAAAAATGCAGGCAGTTGGACAGAATAACTATCATCTGTCTGTCTGTCTGTCTGTCTGTTTGTCTATCTATTGGTCCAGACAGCCTCATCCTTCATCTAAAGCTCCCCTACACCTTCAGAAGACCCAGAACTGCCTCCTAGAATGCATTTTTGTAAACACTGGTCAGATAACTATATCGCGAAATTCAGATAAATGCAAATCGCAAAAGATGGCTGTGTTTCGGTTCTCATAATGTTTCAGAAAGTACAAATTTACTAGATTCACCTTTAAATGTTTGCTGCTGGGCCAGGTTCAAGGTGCTAGTCCTAACATATAAGACCCTAAGCAGCTTAAGACCAGGTTACTTGAGAGACCTCCTTATCCTTTATACACCCACTGCATTGCTGTGCTCTGTGGAAAGGTTTCTCCTGACTCCTGCAAGTTCCTAAGATCTCAGAATCCCCCTTGGCAGTAAGTCAGAGAAGGGTTTTAGTGTGGCTGCCCATGTGGAACAGTATTCCAACTGAGAGATGAACGATGCCCACTTTCTAATGTTGTACACTGCCCTGAGATTTCTTGATAAAGGGAGGTATATAAATTGAAAATAATAATAATAATAATAATAATAATAATAATAATAATAATATCATCTTTACTTTCAGGAAACAGTTGAAGACATTTCTGTTCCTACATGCTTTCCTTGCAGGATAAATAGCATGAGTGTCTACTTTGTATGTTTTTCGTGTTGTTTTAAATCTATTTGCTGATTTTGTGCTTTTCAGTGTTTTAAACTACCTTATGCATAAATCACCTTGAGATGGTTGTTTAGAAGATGATTAATAAGTTGTAATAATAATAATAATAATAATAATAATAATAATGTGAACTGAATCAAATTGCTCCCCTATATTTGCTCCCTTTCAGCATTCTGCATCTTGCTCCATCGTTTGAGGCCTGGGCCAAGCAGTCACGAAGCCTCTACATTTTCATCACCCTGAGGAAGAAGAAAGAGTCAAAGACTACTCTGAATTAGGACTCAGCAGGGATGGAACTGTCACGCTCCTGCCGTTGCCTTTGCATGTCCATTCCCCCCACAAATGTGTCCCCAGCGGGCAGAGATTCAGCCGAATCCAATCGATTATCCGAAGAAATTTGGAGCAACTTGTGAACACCTGCAACCGGCCTCCCATCCTCTCCTTGGGGAACCCCACATGTTCTGAGGCAGAAAAGAAAACAGAATTTGCTGCCAGGCTCTGTGTCTGCTTTCTTGGGAAGACGGGGGGGGGGGGAGAGCGAGAGACTGAAAACAGGAAGCAAGACTTGAGTTACGTCTGCCCCATAACCTGCAAACTTAAAAATGGTAAGCGTAATGCTGGTGGTCAACTAAAGAGGTTCAAAGACTCTCTCAAGGCAAATCTTTAAAAATGTAGTATAAACACCGACAACTGGGAAACACTGGCCTATGAGCGCTCCAATTGGAGAACAGCATTTACCAAAGGTGTCATGGGTTTTGAAGATGCTCAAACTCAGGAGAAAAGGGGAAAACGCTCTAAAAGGAAGGTACCCTTGGCAAACCCTCACCATGATCAACTCCCGCCCGGAAACCTATGTCCCCATTGTGAAAGGACGTGTGGATCCAGAAGTGGCCTCCACAGTTACTTTTAAAACTGTGTTTGTGGAAGAAAATCTTACTCGGCTACGAGTGATCGCCAAAGAAGAAGATACCCTGCAAAAGAGGGATATTAATGATGGCTTGAATATTGTAGGCTTTGATTTACCATACAATTGAAATGTTAAACAGCAACGTCCAAGAGGAGAGTGGTCAATGACGGGTCTCCTTTCCACAATAACATGGTGGTGTCAATAAAGGTCCAGCCAGGATGAGAACCTACATGGATTTTGATCATGTATGAAGCAGGAAACAGTTCTATGGTTCTTGGTGAGGGTTTCCGAGTCAGGGCTCTGATCTCATTTGCACTGTGCCGTGCCACTGGTTTGCATAGCCCAGTTCTGGACAATTTGCCACAGCAATCCAGGGCTTCTCATAGGCAGAGGGATTTTTTCAGCCCTGACATTGGATTTGCTACTGGGGGATGTAGCCTAGGACCTTCTGCTCTGCCACCGAGCAACTGCAGGTCAGGAAAGTCCCAGGACAAATAAGAAATACTGACCTGACAAAATTTTAACCTCCACTGAGCTCTCTCTTAGAGAACCAGTGTGGTGTAGTGGTTAAGAGCGGTAGACTTGTAATCTGGCAAACCGGGTTTGCTTCCCCGCTCTTCCACATGCAGCTGCTGGGTGACCTTGGGCTAGTCACACTTCTCTGGAGTCTCTCAGCCTCACTCATCTCACAGAGTGCTTGTTGTGGGGGAGGAAGGGAAAGGAGAATGTTAGCCGCTTTGAGACTCCTTCGGGTAGTGATAAAGCGGGATATCAAATCCAAACTCTTCTTCTTCTTACCCATCCACCCCCTCTAAAAGAAGCAGGGAGTCTCACTCCCTAGCAGAGTGGCAGGGAATTTAAAGGGGTGGTACTTTATCTTGGAAACCATACTGTACCATAGCATGGGGTTGTGCACTTCTGCCTTCTCCAGCAAAGGATGGAGAACCAACTGTAGTGGGTGAGGCAATTCAGAACCCTCTTACGAAAGTCCCAAGCTGCCAGTCCCAGGTCCAGAGTCTAGTAAATTTCCCTCAAAGGGGAATTAATTCCCTCTTGCTTTGGCTGATTCCAGGGTTGTGAGATAACCCCATCTCTAGGTTGTCACGACCTAGTGTTCTACATGGGAAGGAATCAGGCCACATCTTTTTCTTGTGGCACTTCTTCAAGCATTGGGACCCAGCCTCAATCGCTGACGCCTTATTTACTTTGTGGTTTGATTACCGTAGTGCACTTTAAATGGGAGTGGCCTTGAAGACAGCTCAGAAACATCAGGTTGATTTAAAATGCAACGGCCAGGGTTTAAACTGGAGCATGCAGGACAGAACATAATACTTCAATATTGCCATCACCATCGGTTGGCAATTGTTTACAGGATCAAGTCAAGGCTGCAGTTTTGTCCTGTTACAGTCTTGAAAGGCCTGAGGTCAGAGTATCTCAAGAATTGCCTCTTTCTATATGAATTTGCCTGAGACCCTCTTCGTTTTTCTGGCTTTCTGAGTCTCCCAGTTGTCAGAAGTACAGGCAGGGCGTATTTTTAAGGAAGGCACCCAGAATTTAGAAGAGCCACCTTAGGAAAGCAAGCTTGGCGATTTGATCTGCATTTTTAAATGGTCCTAATTTCCACCTTCCCAACAGACTAATGTATGAATTGGAACAGATATCCTTGAGGTCATGTGCCCCTCTGGATTTTGCAGCACAACCCTCAGCTAAATATATCCCACCATTGGTGGTGGGATGACGATGAGGAAGAAGAGGCAGCAGACTGGGAAGAGGTGTCAGGAGCTGAAGAGGTAACAGGGTTTGGTGAGCAGGAAGAGTCTGGCTGAGAGCAGTCCAGAATCAGAGGCAGAAGTGGAGGCTGGAGAGGAGGCAGGCTGCTGAAGAAGCCAAAGGGTGCCCTCCCTGCTGGTCTCCCAGAACCCAAAGAGGTGCGAAGAGGGCGGAGCAAAGACAAGCAAGACAACAGGAGCTTCAGATTGCTTGGGAAGGAACTGGGGGAGGAGGAGACTTAGGGAGCTGTGGGAAGGTGGGGACCTTCAGTCATTGCATTTGCCTCATTGGGGCAAGATCTACCAGGAAGAGTTGATGTGCTCTCTAGGCTTGACCTCCTGAGCGGTCTTGTTTCTTTGAAGAAGGAGTTAACTTCACTGATGCCATGTGAGTTATTGCTAACCTGCTCCTGTCACCCACTCCTGACAGTATCTTCTAACAACACTCAGCACCCTGAGCAAACTACAGCTCCCATAAACCTTTGGGGGAAGCTATGACTGTTCAAAGTATCTGAGTGCTTTAATTGTATGGTGTGAATGTAGCTTCAATCTTGCTGCTTGAGATGCACATCCTGATGACAAGCCTGAGGCTGAGACCCAACCTTTGATCCTTCTGCGCATCACTGTGTGTTGGGATAATTTGAACACCCATCCCTGAGATGGCCAAACATTTTGTGGCTTTAGTAAAACATCTGGCTGACTGAGTTCATAATAATGCCCTTTTTATGCCCCACACCCCACCCATGTCTATCACCTGTGTGTCCACCTAATGGTAGGACTGGCCCACCCAATGCCTATGATGCACTGGGGCAGTGAACCAAACATTCAGCCTTCCCACTGACTGGGGGGGGGGGCTTAAGAAGGGGGAGGCCCCTCCAGCAGTAATCCTCCAGCCTTCCATCCCACTGTGATCATTTCATGCTTTGGAGCGTAAGATTTGATTAGGCTGATCCTAACAGGCGGAGTCCGTGACCATCAATTACCGCTCGTGAAATTACCCAGCTGCCACCCAAGGCCACATGAGGCGGGGATTTTTATTTTAATTTATTTAAAGAAAGAAATGGACACATCATTAATTTCCCCCTCCTTTCTCCACCAGATCATTCTCATCTGAATGGAAGAATTTAATATCTTCCCTTCTGCTTACAAAATCAATAATAATAATAATAATAATTAATAATCATCATCTCTTGTCTGTTCTAAACCAAATAACAGACACACATATAAATACACACACACACTTATATAAAGACACACCATAAACAAGGTTTCCCAGCCCCCCTCCTCTTCCCAAGTTCTTTCCCTTCCAAAAAAGTGCATAAACACTGCAAATAAATAACATCTTAAAAAATAAATACATCAAATAAATAAATAATAAAGGAATGCTGGTTGTGGCACGCAGATGTTGTTCAAGACATGAGAAGGGGCTTCCATCCTCTTCAGCCCTGGCACTTGTCCGTGTCTCCTTCCGAACCAGGAGCCAAATCACGTTCTTAGAAAAGTCAGAAGCTCCCAAGCTTTTCTGAGTACTGTGCAAAGGGACTAGGGTGGGCTACAACAGCTCAACAGAACATCCCATTTCTAGAGGCAGTAGACTGGGCCCGGGTCACACCAGATGCAGGGGGAGCAGCAATAGGGGAAGTCCATCACCTCTGTGCCCAGCATTTAAGCTTCCTGGTGTGTGGGGCGGTGGAAGGACCATTTGCAGGTCCTTCTTAGAAACAGAATGCTGGTCTGGATCATTGGTCTTCTGGTGATGGTTCGAGAAACACAAGTGGGTCATGCAGCACCCAAAGAGGAAGGGCTGCTGCTCAGGAGTCAAGCACAATCTCAGCATCCATCTCCAGCATCTCCTTCCCTCAAGCACAGGGAAGAAAAAGACCAGACCCTCCAAGTGTCCCTATTTTCCCAGGTACTTCCTTGATTTAGAGAAGCTGTCCTGGTTTCTGATTTGACCCCAGAACGTCCCGCTTTTCCTTGGGATGTCCCTATTTTTATTGGAGAAATGTTGGAGGGTATGGAGTTTTCCGACCCCCCAAGCCACCTGAAGGCAATCCTGTATAGGGAAGTTTTTTAAAAAAAGTTTAATGTTTTATGATGTTTTTATATATGTTGGAAGCTGCCCAGAGTGGCTGGGGTGACCTAGTAAGATGTGTAAGATATAAATATGTGTATTTATAAATAGTAAAATTATCATTATGGAATGGGACGTCCCTATTTTCATCGGAGAAATGTTGGAGGGTATGAAAGACCCTCATCTGAAACCCTGGAAAGCTGCTGTTGGACTATTTGGAACCAGCCTTCCCCAACCTAGTAGTGCCCTCAAAACTCCAACGCCCATCATTCCTGGGCGTTGGCCATGCCAGCCAGGACTGATGGGAGACAGAAGTCCAAAACCTCTGGAAGGGCACTAGTTTTGAGAAGGCTAGTTAAGACAGTATTCTGAGCTAGACGGGCTAGACTTACGCCAGCGGTACCACTACGTTGTGTCTTGTGATTTGGAAAACAAAAGAGGGGCAGTGACCTGATACAAAGGAGAACAGGGATCTTTGCTGTTCGTCGGTGCATAGGAAGCTCAGCTCTTCTCAGATGTGCCTGACAAGCTGCAGCTCTGATGAACAAACAAACAAACAAACAAAACCCTGTTATGAAATTATGAATAATATAGAAGCCTGACCCTCTATAGCATCTGGATGCCCTAAAGAGAATAAAAGTAGGAAAAGGAGAGTAGATTGTGAAAAATATAAATGAG